CCTGAAATATCAGAACACTGTTATCATGTCATCCCTAGTACTTCTTTTCATCAAACTAGATATACCCAATTCCAGCAACTGTTCTTTATATGTTTTAGCCTCCAGTCCCCTAATCATCTTTGTTGCACTTCTCTGCACTCTTGCTAGAATCTCCACATCTTTTTTACATCATGGCAACCAAAACTGAATGCAGTATTCCAAGTGTGGCCTTGAAATTTAGATTATTTTAAATCTAAAATATATTTAATTGATAGCAATTAATTAAAAACAGGAGTAGGATTGAAAAATGTTACCACCCAGTTCTCTGTGCTGTTGCTGGGTGGGCGTGGCATGGTGGGCATGGCCTACTCAGCCTTTGCACCATGGTGAGGGGGGAGGGCGTTTTCACCCTCCCCAAGCTCTGGAGACTTTTCTTGAGTCCCCAGGAGGGTGAAAATGGCCTCCCCCAGGCTCCAGAAGTCAGAAAAAGTCCCATTTTTGGACTTCCAGTACTTCTGGTAACCTTGTTTTCTGCCCTCCCCAGATTCTGGAGACTTTCCTCGGGTCTCCAGGAGGGCGAAAACAGCCTCCCCTGGGCTCCAGAGGCCCTCCAAAGGCCAGAAACAGGCCCATTTCTGGACTTCCGGCAGGCCCATTTTTTGTCCTCCCAGAGCCCTGCACTTATCTGGTATGATGAACAGGCTGTGTCCTGGAAGGGGTGGGGTTGGGTGGGCTGGACCAGCCAGTCCTTGCAACAACCGGTTCAGCGAACCGGATGCAAAATTAACATCCGCTTCACCGAACTGGTGCAAACCGGCTGAATCTCATCCCTGATTCAAAACAGCTTTAGTCAAACAGACTTATAGAGTTCTTTAGAGCAGTAGTTCGCATTCTTGGTAACTCAAGGCTGACTGAGGAATTCTGGGAGTTGAAGTCCATAAATCTGAAAGTTGCCAAGGTGGAGAAACTCTGCCTTAAGTATTTCAACAAGTCTTCTTGAACCTAACCCTTCAGGCTGTTCAGATTTTCTTAAAGCATATCTAGTGGCACTGTGTCCATCTTATAGAATCTGTCAAAGCATTTTGTAGGAAACTAAAATGTAATTTAAATTGGGGACACCTTTGCAGACACTTTTTGGACCAATCCCCAATATCGTTTGAAACTCCTGGAAGAAGACGATGATCCAGAAGATAGTGAGGTGATATGCAGCTTCCTGGTGGCACTGATGCAGAAAAACAGGAGAAAAGAGCGCAAACTAGGAGCCAATCTCCTCACAATTGGTTTTGCCATCTACGAGGTATGTTAGTCATCAGGCTACTGATTAATCACATCCTACTGCTTCAGAATTGAGCTGGTCAGATTCCAGCTCAGTTATATAGAGTAGGCCAGCTAATTGTACAGGAAACTCCTTGAATTACAACATCAATTGGGACCAGAACCTCTGTCACTAAGTGATATAGTCATTAAATAAGCCAGCCTATGACTACATCCAATTTGACAATATTTTCAACTGTGATCTTAAGCAAACACATGTTTAACAAATCTGGCTTTTCCCATTGACTTTGCTTATCAGACGGCAGCTGAGAAGGTCTCAAATGGAGATCATATGATCCTGTGACACTGCAATGACCACAGAAATATTGAGTTCAACTAGGATAGTACGTTGAGGACTACCCGTATAGCTATAGTTATATAGTTGGAAGAAGCTGCATTTCCCCCCATTATTTCTGAGTATTTTTTGAATGAGAATCATGGAAGGCATAATGCTGAACATCATTAGAAATGTTGGTACTGGAATCCTGGGTCAGTAGCCAAGCATCTGAATTTTGATCCCATTAGCATGGGGATGCCGGAATGGGTCGTAAGTGTGAAAAATGGTCATAAGCCATTTATTTAGTGTCGTAACTTCAAACAGTGACTAAACAAACTGTTGTTAGTCAAGGATTACCTGTATATAATCTGGCTTACGGTTTCTTAAAAGCTGATGGAACTACAACCATTACTATGAGGTGTAACCAGGGCTGAAATGCTACTGGTTCAGGGGAACCAGTATTTTTGACTATCAGCTGTGATGGACGATTTATATTAGCTAGAATCGTTGGATTTCCTGTTTTCTAGCTAATTTAAATTGTGTGCCACAGCTGAACGTCAGAAATCAAAGGTTCTGCACATGCACAGAGGTGGCGCATGCGAGTGAAGCATGCACTCACATCACCCAAACTGATAGCAAAGGTAGGTTGATTTCACCCCTGGTGTAACTACAATATTTAATAAGTGTTGGAAAGATCCTAAGGTGAACATACATTTGTCAACATTCTGAACATAAATTTTGAATCATACTGTATGACATTTCCCCTCCTTTCCTAATTGTATTTCTACCTTGCTTGCTTCTCAGGTGCCGAAAGAGGTAAGAGCAGACTGAAAAACCTGTTGATTGCTTGGGTAACATTTTGAATACAACTCATTTTCCACTTCACTCTTCAGAAGTTTCCAGGTTAGATTTCTTCTTGACCATTAGGTGAAAATCTGTCTCAAAAGAATGTGCATTAGTATCCCACATTAGGTATTCAGGTACTTACTCAAATAATTCACATCTCACAGAGCATTTGAAAAGTGTAATAGAAATAGAACACATATATAGAAAGTAAAATAATATTGATCATTTTAATGTATAACTTTTACATCTGTTAAAGTGCTACAGGCATACCCAACCTACCACACAACTTCCTTACAATTTATGACATTATTTTAGATAGTTTATCCAACAGCTGGCAATATCAACAAAGTGATGGCAAATCATATATGATTTGAACTGGTATCTTAGGGTAATTCTCCTACCCAACCGAAAGCCCTAAGCCACATCAGGTTCAGTTAGTTCTTGGAAGGCAGATATCAGGCAGATATCAAGGAATCCAGAGACTCCAAGAACTCTTTAAAAAAGGCCATAGAAAACATGTTCTGTTGACAATTTTTTCTGTTGATAATTTTTAGGAGTTGAACAGAAATTGAACTTGGGCAGTTCATGGTTTTGTGAAGCAAAATAGAATAGCCAACACCCCAGATGATAGGCTCCAGATCCAGATGGATCTCAACAGACTTGAACAATGGGCCCTATCTAACAAAATGAATTTCAACATAGAGAAAAGTAAAGTTTTACAATTAGGCAAGAAAAAACAAAATTACACATACAGATTACGTGAAACCTGACTTAAAAGCAGTAACTATGACAGGAATCTTGGAGTGAACAATTATTTAAATATAAGCCAGCAGTATGCAGCGGGAGCCAAAAAAGCCAATGCAGTCCTAAATTGTATTAACAGAGGGATTGAATCAAGATCATGTGAGGTACTAATACCATTCTATAAAGACTTAGTAAAACCACACCTAGAATACTGCATCCACCTATGGTCACCACACTATAAAAATGATGTTGAGATTCTAGAAAAAGTGCAGGGAAGAGCAACTGAAATAATTGGGGGCTGGAAGCTAAAACGTATTAAAAATGATTGCAAGAACTGGGTATGGCTAATCTAGGGAGGAGAAGGATCAGGGATGACATGATAGCAGTGTTCCAATATCTGAGAGACTGTCACAGAGAGAAGAGGGTCAACCTATGACCATGGGGCTGCTGCAGTGGTGGGTTCTGAATCCCGTTCCAACCGGTACAATTGGAACAGGCCTGGCGTCACGCACATGGACGTGCACACGCGTGCAGCGCGCGCTTGTGTCATACTTGCATGCGATGCTTCCGTAAGCCTCCACGACGCGCCAGCTGCTTGGCGGAGCATTGCGCAGTTGCCATATGCGCATGCGCGGAAGTGTCAAAGGCTTAAAGGACAGGTAAGGAGTTCAGGCAGGTGGGCCCTCCGGAGCACCGTACCAGAACAGTACCCAGTGCTCCGGGCAGGCTCTGGTACGCCCATACCGGGGCGTACTGCCTGCAGTGACGTGCTGTGAAGTTCACGGCCGGTGAGACAAGCGGGCAGGACCTCTATATTCTCCTCCCTCCACCCCTCCAATCTAGGCAGGACCAAGCCGCTCCAGAAAAAAAAAAAAACCTGCCTGCCTCTTGCCTTTGAAGGAGAGGAGGAGGAGGAGGAGGACACCCGCTTGGGA